CCCCCCCAAGGATGTCTACACAATGCATTTTTTGTTTGTGCGTCTTACCAAAGACTATAATCATGCCCAGGGGCTTCAACAAACTATAGCCTTTTTGGGTGTCAGAGCCACCAAGGGGGTCGAGGACGATGTCCACACCTGCAGAGACAGAAATAAAAGGGCAAAGCTTTGTAAGTTTCTAGATAACAGAACATGACAATGTTCAACACAACGAAAACATGAGAGCCAAGGATTTCCATTTGTGCAGTAGTAAAACAAGAGTTTTTTTTTTTACCCTTCGGGCTGATTTTGCGGATTTCCTCCACGTAGTCTTTGGTGCGGTAGTCGATGGGGTGAGTTACCCCGCCTTGGGTAATAGTCTCATGTTTGGAAGCCGACGCCGTGCCAAAAACAGTCACATCCTGCACAGTTTGACACAGCTGGGTAGCAGCAATACCCACACCACCTACAGATGTGCAGACAGCAGCAAGGACCGGCATGAGAACAGGAGGAGCAGGTGTTTCACTTTCAGCAAAAGGGGTTGTGTGCGGTCTCTCTGAACCACTCAGCGATTTTCTCAAACATTCAAACTATGCTTGCTTTGAATGTTGAGTTAGTACTCAACCGGGCTCCTAGTAAATACATTTTAAGGGGAAATTTAAATGACGATACTGTTACCAAGCAACTGTAGTGAGCTTTTTAAAAATCTAATGATTGAGACAAAACACTTTACAAGATATCAACTTTGCCCATCTGAATTTGTGTAATCAGTTAATATTTGCATTTGATAAAAAGATAAACCATGAGAAGGCAGGTAGATTCCATTCTTCACATGTGGAAAGTTCTGCATCTGTTGTATAACGCGTTTTGACCTTTTACACGTTTTGGCTTAAATGTCATGTATGCGCTGTAAATAAAATGCTAAGTGGTTAAGAGCCAGATCTTACATCAATATGTAGGTGTCGTTTCTACAGCAGCATAAGTAATGCTGCTCCAGGACCATGACTGCAGCTGATAAATGATGTTATGGCTTTGCAATCTAAGGGTAAAGGTCACGCATGGGAGACATTCGTCTTTCTAACACCTGTTTAATGTTTTGTGTCCATTTTGACTCAAATTATTATGTTGTCCTTAAACTAACCAAAGTGTAAGTAAAAAAAAATATATATATATATATACACTTGAAAAAGAAGAGAAAAAAAGTTACACCTCAAAAATTACAGACCGTCTCACACAGGACACCAACCAGAATCTCCTGGGTGTCTGTTTTGCATTAGGCCCTCTCATTCATCACAACCTTTTCCAGGCCTTGATCCTCTTCATAAGACTTCTCTCTACCAGAAGAGCTTTAGTGTTTTTACCTGACTGTAAACAAATGTTGAATGGAGCTTCCGAGTCTGAAGTCAAAGCACAAGTGCTTTAAATAGGCATACTTTTAAATGGTCAGGAGGGAGCGATACTCTGCAAAATCTCAGTACAGTTTCACTCTTTGCAGCCAGAGATGTGACCTTAATGTTAACTTGTGCACCATTTTGGGTCTAAAAATCATAGTGACATTGTGGGGTCAAGGGAATAAAGGCCTACAGACTAATCCACAACAATCTAACAACATCTAGTCATGAGTAGGGTTGGGAATCAAGAACAGCTACCCGATAGCTCAATTTCTTTTAGTTATTCTGTTGTATTCAATTACGCTAATCGGTTCTGCTTGCACTTGTGCTAAGATCAGTTGATTTCAGCTTGTAGAGGAGGAAAATAGTGACGCAGTCTGCAGCGTGCATATAGATATAACTTTAATTTATTTATTGCACAGTGAAACGACTGTATTATGCTATTATGACAACAACTTCTGCACAATGTGAGCATGCTAACGCTAAGCTAGCCAAGAACCTAGAGTGAAGTTGGGTTGACCGAATGCTGACCCCAGCCCGGCAGCCAGACCCTGAACTTCACAAAGCAGTCAGGCTGCAGCGTGCATTTGTCAGACTGGTCAGTGACCCCTCAGACTGGTTTTCAACCAGTTGGGAAATACACATTTTTCCCCTAATAACTGGTGATTGAATCACATCATACTGAGGACAACTCTTGAGCAAAGAGGTGATGAGAAATGCATAAAAGTCTATGGGAAAATTATCCAAGTAAAAATGTTATAGTTGAGTTTGTTTCTTATCAAAATATTACCACTGAAGTCACATTTACTTCTTAATTAAATTATGATCCTCATTAGGTTTAAATTGGCAATAAATTAATGCTTTAAGGTGGAGTCATCATGTGACTGACAACCTCATGAGTATTCACCCTTCATTGATTTCACAGTCAAACCCACCCTTTGCTTATTTAATTCCAGCTTTAAAAGTTGGCAATCTATGGCCTGTACGGTATGATAAAGCTAAGACATCATAACACTGATTAGTCAGCGATTGTTTTGGAGCAACATTATTTAGGATTTGGTAGGAAATACACCAGCACGGGCCGGTATTAAATCGGAGCTGGTCAGACTATTACTGCGTCATCGCCTCACCCTTTTTCCCGAATGTCCTCTCGCTCTCCACATCACACCCAATTCCACAGAGAGCGTAATTTAGAGATGCGACTTAGAGGGTGGAACCCTCAGAAGACAGGTGAACAAAAGGAGACATAGAAAGCAGTGCTTTCTGATCTCTGTGGCCCATTTCCACTTAACAGTGAAAGGCTTTTGAAGATTATGACCGCCTGGGCCTGCAGGTTCACCAGTAATCCTTTCTGCCCTCATGATTCACACAGGTCAGCTGACACCCATTCACCCACTCAACATTGATGAGCAGCCTTTGAGAGGGAGGATGCAGAGGAGCAGAAGAGCAACTGAGCATCACAGTAACTGTCCTGTATTCTTCGACTCAGAGTGTAGGGGGATCAAACGCTCAGATATTTGTGCTGCTGTGACAATACAACGTAAAATCTTTGAATTCAAACTGAATAAAGTGCAAAGCTAAACACACACTTCCTCAATTCTCTCAGCTCTAACTGGATTATACCATATGCGCATAACTATCACAGTTATATTGTCAGCTGTGCAGCTGTTTCACAAGTTCAAGATATTTTCAGTAACGATGTGAAAAATGTGGCGTCATCACAGCCTCATAGCTGAAGGTGTCAACTGCACATGCACTGCAAACCTTTAGTTTTCCTAATAAGAGTGTGGTGATCTCTATTTGATCAAAAGCAGAAGTGAAATGTCACACTAGCTGACCCTATAACTGTGACATACAGCTAAGAAAGGCCTTGGTTTATAACTCCTGGACATGCACACTCATTAAAGATGGTTTTGTGTAAGAAATTTGCATTTGAGAAGTGTTGCCCAAGCAACCATTTGTGATAATAATCCAGTTTCATATGAAGATGTTTTGACATAACACTTCTTCACCTCTGACTTAAAGTCTTTTAGCTGATAATCCTTCAGCACAGAAATGCAGCTGCATTCAAAGAGCTGATTAGCAGGAGGGAGCGTGCTGTGCAACTCTTTACACGTTACCCAGGAGACTGACAGGAGGTTTGTTACACCTTCTAATTAACTGATAACGAGAGTAGTCTTGTCACACAACATTGGGGATGCCACTGAGCTAGTCTGAGGAGATCCTTCATTATCTATTCCTCAAACTAATTTTCACACTAAGGCTACACGTTCGATTATAAAAATAATCAATTAACTGAGTAATAAATTGATGTAACAAACAAAAACTGGGTCATTTGATAATTTTAGGATACACATCAAAACAGTGTTTATCATCTTACACCAGGGTGCAACCGCTGTTTCAGCTCCTCGCCACGTAATGTGCAATTTATACTTCTGCACTGTGTGGACCCTCTGGTGTCGCCTGCACGAGTAGACGTCACAATTCTCAGCATTTATACTCATTTATAGTGCCTCTGTTGCTGTGCAATCTCACATGTGAGAAACGAAGAAGAATAAAAACAAAAACTCCTCACTTAGTTTATTTGGAAATTATTTTCAGGAGTCTTACCTGCTGCCATGTGTATAAGAACGCTTTTGCCCGGCCTAAGATTGGCCATCTCAAACAGCATCATGTAGGCGGTCATGTAGTTAATAGTTAAAGCAGCACCTTCCTCAAAACTCATCTCCTCGGGCATAAGGAAGGTGCGGTCAGCGCTCACGACAGCTACTTCCTGCCACATGCCGCTGCGGGCCAATGCGATGACACGATCGCCAACCTGAGGGAAGGAAGGAGGGGGACAGGGAGAAGGTGGTGTGAGGTCAAACTAAAACACAGACGTTCACAGCTGTGGAATGATGCATTTATTCATATCAACTTAATACAGGAAGATTAAAAGTTTGATTTAGCAAAATTATAAAGCAGTAAACACAAATCACACCTGATGCTAATCTAAAAGTAAAAAAACAAAAGTGGGGAAGTTAAATTAGTGCTTTTTAAACTTTCCTGTCATTCAGCTTAGTTTCACTCTGATTAGTTTTCCTCGTGTGGTCATCTATGCCCCACTTTCAGCAGCTCAGTGCCCCACATTTTGAAACCTGGCGTTCTATTGATCTTTGTAGAAAGTACAAAACAACTGCATATTTCCACTGTGGGGGAAGAAACCTCAGACTAATATCTCAAAGGCTGAACAATAACAGGCAAAGTAGGGAAACAGAGCGCCTGTAACTTGAATAGGCATCGTTTCTAAAAAGATAAACAAACGGTGAAAAGAATCGCATTTGCTATATTTCTCATACAGCGCTGTGCAAAAATCTTGAGCCACCCTTTATTTCTTTACATTTTTGCTCTCAAGGACTTTGCCATTTTGTGGTCTCGAGCAATAGTTCTCCAGGGTTTCTGGAGGTCTTTCCAAGTTTTTCTTTGGACATTGGCTTTTTTCCCCTCCAGTTCTAATGGGAAAAAAAAAAAAAACAAACCCCAAGTCAGTCTTGTGATTATTAGAGATTTGTATTTCATGCATTCTTTCCAAAATACATTCTCACTACATTGTCTTTGAGTCCACAAACTTCTGTGCCTCAGTGAAACTCACAACACCCTCTCAAACAAACTAAAACCATTAAACAAGACGACATTTTAACATTCATTCTCTGGTCATAGGGACATCAGATATGGGGGCTTATGGGAAATGCTGTTCATGTTTAACGGCCTTCCTAAATTCAAAGAGTCATATGACCAATGTTGCGAAAAGTTCCAAAAATGCGAGGGGTGCAGGAAAGCAGCCTGATCTGATCATGAATGCCGCACAGTTTCCTGCTAAAACAGCTTCAAGAGCTCTGAGTCACACCCACTTCCTGCTGCACACAGCCCATGACAATAGACAGATGATACACACAAATATTTACACTCGCAAACACAGTAAACACGCACATACACATTTGGTATGTGTGTGTGCCCCAATTTTTGGCGAGTTATTGTAAAAGCCTCAACTTCCACCTCAGATGACACGCTCAATTTCTCAACCCCTGCACTTGTGAAACATTAAAAATTTGCAGGATCAACTCAAAAATTCATAACAGCCTGTTTTTCCTTTTCTTAAAGAAGGGCTGAGTTCATTTCTTGGAAGGTTGACATAAAGTGAAGTCACTGCAGAGACTACAGAGTGGAAATAGGACAGTGAAAACCTGCTGCTCATTTGAGTCAGTCTTGACAAAAACTAGCGCCACGCCTGGTTTTCTGCAGCTCATTTTAGTGCATCGAAATCCGCCTTTGCCACTAAAGCATCTCAGTAGCCGAGAGAAAGAGCAGATCTTCATCCATAATTCAGAGTCGTGTGAAAACATAAGCACATCCTCTTAATTCTAAACTTTTCATAACTTGGAAGAAGTAAGCAAACCCCACTGACTCAGTAGCTTGTAGAACCACAGCTGGCAGCTGTAGCTTGACATAGTCATTTGCTGTATGACTTTATCAGTCATCACAGCATTTCAGTCAGGTTGCAGTCTGAACTTTGACTTGGTCATTGTAAAACCTCGACTCTTTTCCCCTTTCAGACAATTTGTTGCAGATTTGCTGCTATTCTTGAGATCGTCATGTTGCATGACTCGATTTGGGCCAAGCTTTAACTCTCAGACAGGCAGCTTCACATTCGACTAGAATATTTTGGTATACAGAGAAATTTGTGGTCAACTAAATGACTGCAAGCAACAAGCCCAAATTATCACCTCTACCACCATGCTTGACAGTTGTATGAGGTGTTTATGGTGATATGCTGTGATTGTTGGTCACCAAATGTGTCGCTGTGGATTATACCCAACCTCATTGGTCT